CCTGTTAGTCCACCAGCGTAATCTTTTAAGCCTGCTTGGCCCACTGGCAGAACATTTGCGTCCTCGACATAGTGACGTAGGTCGTATAGAGTGGGTTTTTTTTTTTTGGGTCAGCCCGGTTAGGATAACTGCAGTCGTACTTGTTAGGTCGCATATGTAGGCGCAGATGTGTGTGGTATAATATTTTGTCGGTAGAACTGTTTGTATTTGCCCGGAACAATTGTCGTAGGTCGTCCGCTCTTGTAGGCGGATATCTTCGACGTTAGGCTACTTTTATCGGTAAAAGTATTCGCTCCCAATCCATAATATCGTCGAACCCACGAAAGTTATGTAGAAGCATAAGGGTTCCGTGGATGATTATATCCGTATAATGGTAGGAACTTATTTTCGTTGTTTCGTTGTAGAGAATTAAAGCGGTAAAACAAAGTGTGACAGAGCTATACGGTACGGGACAGTCAAGCGACCCTGTATACGCAAGTTGTAGGCGCAGATATATTTAAACGCAAGTTGTAGGCGGTGTTCGAAGACCAATGTGCCGACGTCTGAAGCACAGACTCTCTTACGCCTTCTGCGCTTAGCCCACTAAGCATTCTGCCTATGTTATCTGCACACTTGCGAATCGTTACCACCTACCGCGGCTGACACCATCCGATTCTTTCGTCTAGTCTCGGTTGCTAGCTAATAAATTAGGAATCTGTGAATGGCCGACAGCTCGGTCCACTCTCGCCCCATGGCAGCCCAGGGCGCAGAGGATGGAGAAGAAGACCTGGAGGACGTTGAAAATACTGACCAAGACTACGCACAGGAACGCGAGAACGATAGCGAGTTTGAGGCGACCGAGGAGGATTTGTTTCAGGGTGGTCTCTACGAACCATCCGTCCGGATTCAAGTCCAGGGGAGTGAAGAAGAGAGTGAAGGGTCGGGAGGCGATGGAGTGCGCCCACGACCCGGTGCACCCGAAGAACGGTACGAGGAGGATGGAGATCACTCTGACGCAGAAGAGGAGGGAGAATCATCGCCAGGACGACGACGACCTCCCGATTCTGCGAGCCATGTCGAGCAGGCTGCGGCCCCCGGAAATGCGCAGCGGCAGACCGACGTTGCGAAAAAGGAGAGCAGGATCCGGCGTTCAACAATCCCGCTTCGACTGATAGAGGCCGGGACGAGAAGGCACTATTGTTTCCACTTTCTACACTTCAAGTGGTGGGTGATAATCTTCATGGCAACTATGGTAGATGTCCCTGTGGCAGATAGGCTTGCTCCCTCTCTGCATGACGGGGTTGGGTTTCATATGAGCAATAACTTGGGAAACGATGGATGGTCGTGCAGCTCTGACGAGTGGCAGATTCATCTGCACGGGCCGCGAATCACGGAATGGAGGCTCGGCCGATACATCGAGTATCTCTTCTGCGAAACTGACAAGCAGGCAAAGTTTTTGCGTGGAAAAATGCGGCCAGACGTCGAGAAATATGTGGGGAAGGAGGCAAAGGGGTGCACGGCTTCAATGATCAAGGCAAAGATGAACGCAATGGGATGCCTTGCCAGGTGCGAGGCGAGGCTCTACGGCTTCTCCATCACACTGACCAAGGACTGGATCAAGGATGCCCGGGATTATTTCAAAGTCAAGCTGAAGGATCTGAACGACGAGCAAGTCGCGTGAGTAACATATACGTGTGCTTTCTGTTTGTGTGAATGTTGTTGTACATGGTTTACATAATTACTGTGCTATTCTATGCAGGGATGGTCGAGATCAAACCCGTGGATCAATTGGTGATTGCTATACGGGAAGCGAGTATACGACGCTGCATCTTACTGTTCTGCGAAAAGAGCTCCTAGAGATCTGGTGGCGGACGCCTCCGTCACAAATCTCGCTTCCTCTCTGGAAGGCTCTGCAAGTCCCGGTTATGATGCACCTCGGACACCAATTTCTCGGAAGAGGGTGCAGCATTCGAAAGATTCGACTTGGGAACCTGTTTGTCCGCATGACGCGGAGCACATCACACCTCGACGACTATCTGGACGTTTTCGTACTCGTCGTTGTTTCCAGGAAGTCGAAGACCAACCCCAACAACAAGCTGAGTCATCTGTTTCTTGCAAGGCATAGGGACTGGCGGCTCTGCGGAATGGGCCATGTGTTCCTGTGGCTTTATTTCATCTACGACCTCGTTCCTCTGCGCTACGGCCCCGGTATCGTCGAGCCTCTCGACTTTTCTGAACCGATATTGTGGACGAAAGCGCACCTCTTCTTTTCTTTGAAGAAGGGCGACCAGGGAAAGCAGAAGCAAGACGAGATGCACTACAGAACGCATAACACCTGGATTAAGTGGGCCATGACGAAGGCGAGATGGATTCTGAGCAAGGTAACACATGCATTCCGCAGATCCGGAGCGCAACAACTCCATGACGACGGTTGCTCCGACAACGATATCGGCACTCTGGGCGGATGGGCGCAGGGGGAGTTGCGGAGGTGTTATGTGTTCGGCATACCGTTCAAGCCGGTTTGGCTACTGGCAGGATTCAACGGGGATCGTGGAGACTACTACATCGGCAGAGCCCGCGCCAAGCTTCCGCGGCATAAGGTTAAGGAGAAGGATGAGTGGTTGCAGCTCTTGGATCTCTTGAGGCTTCACATTTTCCCCTGGGTCGAAGAGGGTTGGAAGAAGGTACGTGCTAGTGTACAGTCTTCGCGTTCGTAGCTTAACTTTGATACGCAATTATGAACCGTCCCATTTCTCCTGCATACTCGTCCCGTTAGGTCGAAGAATGGAACGCTGCGCAGACCGATCCGCTGAAGAGGCACTATGCGGGGGCGAGGTTCCTAGACACCCTCGCGAGCATCGGACGCCTCGTTGTTGCACAGGATCTGGCTATGATGTGGGCGTTCTGCGATCAGCACGGCGTGAGAAACCCGCGGTGCAATTGCGAGAGGCATCCATATGTGCAGATGAGCCCCTTGTGCAACCACCCGCTGTTCCAAAAGTGGGCGTACCTGGTCGCTATCTCTCACTTCCAGGGCGAGAAGCTTCGGGCAACCGGCCAAACCACCGCCAAAGCAGTAAGTGCCTGCTATTAGTGGTAGAGAGGAGTTATTCGTTCATGCTGAGTTCTGCCGTGTTGGTTTCTGCAGGACGCTATCTTTCGCACGACCGCAGAAGAGAAGCTGCATAAGATGCACCTCACCGCCAATATGCTCAGGGAGGAGCTTGGGATTTTGAGAGGACGTGAAATGCAGTTGGCGATGGAGAACGCTGAACTGAGGGAGAAACTCGCCGCTGAGCGAGAGGACAAGGCTCGGGTCATTGCAGAGTTCGAAGCATACAAGAGGTCTGTTGCGGCCAGGGATGACGCGGCAAACACCTCTGCAGAGATCGACGGATCGTCGAAGAGCGCGGGAACAGGAGGAAACCAGGCAACGGACGCATCCAAAGCACCAGTTGCCGTCGAGGAATTCTTCGTCGTGGTCGTTGTGTCTTGGCGCGAAGCCACCACTGTTGCTGCTGCCTGGAAAGTGTGGGTGCAGCCAAGCCTCATCATGGGCGGCCGGTCACTGCGCGAAGTCTTTGCAGAGTTCGACCGGTATAAGAAGAAGGACAAGAATTCCAGCTTCATCACCGCATATTCCCGGTTCGCTGTCAAAGGTACGCCCGGGATGGCTGTGGGTGCATGCGAGCGAAAGATGCGTCGCGTGCATCGTGTCATGGTTTCCGTGGAGACGCTAAGAAAAGACAGCTCCGAGGCGGCGACCGCAACGGCCATTAAGCTGCTGGACGAGGTTTTACTCGTGTGCAACTTCACGGAATTCACCAACGGCCTGGCTGTGCTGCATGAGACTCCGACCATCAAGAAACAGAAGACCGGTTCGTCGACGGAAAAGAGGACCGTCAACGACTTGGCGCAACGCAGAGTGGGCTGGCTGTTAGTCAAGAAGGGCCTTCGCGACCAGGAGTGGGCAACTTCGCTGTTTGGTGATGATGAGTGGGAGGAGATCCACAAGGAACACATGGCGCAAGAGAAGGCGGAAGAGGAGAAACAACGAACCGCTGCGGCGAAGAAGGCGGAACGGGAAAAGGCGAAGGGCGAAGCGTCGAAACGCAAGGAGCAGAAATGAGGGGGCATGTACCTTAAGGGTGGGGCGGTTTAGTTATTTGGGTACTTTATTCCGGTTGTACTGAATATGCACTACATGCACTTGTTTGTCTCTGTAGAAGCCCGATTTGGGGCTTGTATGCCACCTTCTTCCCTGGACGCGCTGTTTTTCGTAGAATGTTTTTCTGGTGTATGCAATGAAGCACACATCGATGGTATACACCGGGCGAAATTCTGCGGAGTCATGTCGTATCGTATACGATGTTATTCTATAGAGCGGCGTCGATGAATTCACTCTCACGATTGTAGATGTGTGTTCTTAGGTCACTCGGTAGACTTTTGCGTGGATTTATTCAGTCTCAGCATATGTTTCTGGGCAAAGGAGTGTCATATTCTACTAGTAGCAACGAAGATCCTATCCATGATGGTAGATATTATCAATACGTGGGTTTTTCTGCAGTATAGTGGCGTTTCCAATTTGCCTCCAGAATTCGGCGTCGAGGAATTCAATCTCCATAGCAGAAAGGTCTGTGCATAGGAATACCGTATACGTTCTTAACAAGGTGCTCCCTAAGACAAGATGTTATGTGATTGTTTAGCCCCATACTTCTACCTCCTCGTAGAAGCCGAGTATTAAACGTAGATTAAGTGTCGTAGAAGGCGGTCCTGTCGTCAATTATTTTATTCGCCTGGCCCTCCCTTTGATGGCGAGTTCTATCGGCTGTATTGCTAGCTCCATACGCGCCCTACAAATTTTGCTAGTGTAGTGAAGGTTTGCATAGCAAAAATACATCTCTCATTGTATTGTATACAACAACACCTATATTTATACACGGTTAAATAAAAAAAACGAAAAGGAAAATCTATTTCTACTGCGGTACTAACAAGACCTCCAAAGAACCCGTCTGCCTCTATCACTCCTGGCCGCCAGTGCCGGTGTTCTCCTTCGTCGACGCATCCTTCGTCGCGTTCCCCTTCGCGGACGATTTCTTGGTTTTCTTCTCCTTATCCGCCCCTGTTGTGGTATCCCGGCCGCCCAACTTCTTCTGCAGGACTTCGAGCCAGACGCCCTGGTGCTGGCGAAGGCCTCTTGATGCCATGCTGCATAGGCACCAAGAGGTGACCACCTTTGCCACCACCCTCGTCATCCGCTTCGCATCCTCGGCCGCTCGCGACTCTGCCGGAAGCGCTTTCAGCAGCGCATCCGACAGGGGCAGAATCCACGCTTCCTTGTCATGCTCCTGATCGTTTACCGACCTCATCGCCTCAACCGCAACGCAAGCAGCCGAGGCTGCAAGCGTCGCAAGGGCATTGTGGACGGCAGAGGGCACATCGGCCGCAGAAGATGACGAGGCAGCCGACGAGGCGGTGGCAGCAGTGGACGATCTAGCAGCAGAAGATGCTATGGCCGTAGAAGTTCCACGTGCAGCTGTTGTTGCGCCCGTCTCCCACTGGGTCTGGTCCACATTCGTGGATGCGGCCCACATTACAGACAACGTGGCGGCAAGTCCGATTGCGTGTTCTTCCGTCGAATAGCCGTTTTCACCCTCCACGCCTCCCACCATCTTCTGCCACGCAGTTATTCCGACACCAGCGCAGGCAGCTACCTGAAAGCCATCCCCCTGCTGCTGCCGAAGAGCCGTGTTGGTTTGAACGAGTGAGAATCTGCACAAGACACCAGTGTCGCAAGATCAGAACCATCGAACTTCGCGGGTGTTTAGAAGTTGCAACTGTCCATCACATAAACACTCACCCGTCCGGTTTGTCCAGGTGGAGTTCGTTGATGACGCTCCACACCCCTGTTGGAAGCCACGTTGTGAAGTCGAGGTCTTCCCGCCACTTGTTAATACGGTTTGGATTCATGCCGTATGCCTGCATGTCAATATCCGGGAAGTAGAACTTCCAGCAGACTGCGACCGTGTATGCCCTCTCCCACACCGTTTTGTGAGAGCCGAGGTTCCGCTTCCGGCCGCCGACGGTCTGCTCAGACGTCCACTTCTGCAAAGCTCCCTCGCCCCGTTGAGAGAACCCGCTGCCCCTGAACGGCAGGAAGACACCCAAAGTCTTACCCTTGTCGTCCACTACGACGTTTTTCCTGTTGTCACACTTGTCGATCTTCATCCCTTTCGTTTCCCCTCGGATTATGGGTATCAACTCCTGTATTCCAGCTGCACGCCGTCTCTTAGCCGCATGACCCTCCGGCTCCCTGTCCTCTTGTCTAGGCCGCCTCCTGGACACCTCTACATTCCGTACAGGAACACTAGCCACGCCCTCTGCTACATTCGCCTCCCCGCTCTCAATCAACAGCAAACTCCCCAGCCCCTCAGCTATTTCCTCCTCGACTCCTGTCCAAATCCCCTCCCCCTGCATGGTCAAATCCTCCTCTTCCATCTCCCTTGCCAATCGTTCCGACTCTTCAGCCATCGCCTTTGCCTTTGCCTCTAGTTGCCGCTGCTGTTCCGCGTAGGATGCAAGTCTGGCCCTCTTCTCTGCTCGGCACTGCTCCGCCTTCTGCATGCGCTCCATCTCCTGCTGTTTCGCCCTCTGCTGCCGCTCGGCCTCTTTTGCCTCCTTCTTCTGCGCTTCCTCCTTCTGCAGGCGCTCCATCTCCTGCTGTTTCGCCCTATGCTGCCGCTCGGCCTCCTCTGCCTCCTTCTTCTGCGCTTCCTCCTTCTGCAGGCGCTCCATCTCCTGCTGTTTCGCCCTCGGCTGCCGCTCCGCCTCCTCTGCCTCCTTCTGCGCTTCCTCCTTCTGCAGGCGCTCCATCTCCTGCTGTTTCGCCCTCTGCTGCCGCTCCGCCTCCTCTGCCTCCTTCTTATGCGATTCCTCCTTCTGCAGGCGCTCCATCTCCTGCTGTTTCGCCCTATGCTGCCGCTCGGCCTCCTCTGCCTCCTTCTTCTGTGCTTCCTCCTTCTGCAGGCGCTCCATCTCCTGCTGTTTCGCCCTCTGCTGCCGCTCCGCCTCCTCTGCCTCCTTCTGCGCTTCCTCCTTCTGCAGGCGCTCCATCTCCTGCTGTTTCGCCCTCTGCTGCCGCTCCGCCTCCTCTGCCTCCTTCTTATGCGATTCCTCCTTCTGCAGGCGCTCCATCTCCTGCTGTTTCGCCCTCTGCTGCCGCTCGGCCTCCTCTACCTCCTTCTGATGCGCTTCCTCCTTCTTCAGGCGCTCCATCTCCTGCTGTTTCGCCCGCTGCTGCCGCTCGGCCTCGTCTGCCTCCTTCTTCTGCGCCTCCTCCATCTGCAGACGCTCCATGTCCTGCTGATTCGCCCGCTGCTGCCGCTCGGCCTCCTCTGCCTCCTTCTTCTGCGTCTCCTCCTTCTGCAGGCGGTCCAATTCCTGCTGTTTCGCCCTCTGACGCCGCTCTACCTCCTCTGCCTCCTTCCTCTGCCTCTCCTCCTCCTGCAGGCGCGCCATCTCCTGCTGTTTCTCCCTCTCCTGCCTCTCGGCCTCCTCTGCATCTTTCCGCTGCGCCTCCTCCTTCTGCAGGAGCGCCATCTCTTGCTGTTTCTCCCTCTCCACCCGCTCTGCTTCCTCTGCCTCCTTCCTCTGCGCATCCTCCTTCTGTCGCCGATCTCCCTCCGTTGCCTTCCTACCGTGCTCCTCCTTTTGCCGCCGCTCTGCGTCCAATCTCAGAACCATTGACAGCCGCTTTTCCACCTCACTTAGCATCCCCTCCTTCCACCCCTTAATCCCCGTCTTCATCTCCTTCACAGCCTCCATCACTTCCTTCATTCCCGCCTCCACCTCCTTCTGTCGTCGCTCTTCCTCCTGATGTTTGTTCTTCCTCCGCCGCTCTGTGGCCTCTACATCCTTCCTCTTCACCTCCTCCTCCTTCCGCCATTGCTCGTCCAGTTGTTTCCTCTTGTGTCTCTCCTCGTTGTCCGCCACTTGTTTCCTCTTCGCGTCCTGCTGTTGTCGCCGCTCCGCGTCCACTTGCCTCTCCTTCTTCTGCCGCTCGGATTCTTCTCGCAAAACCGCGCTCAACCTCCCCACAATCTGGTTTACCATCCCATCCTTCATCTCCTTCATTTCTGCCTTCATCTCCTTCATCATCGCCTCCTTCATCTCCTTCATTCCCTCTCTCATCTCCTTCTGCCGACGCGCTTCCTCCTGCTGTTGTTCCTTCTTCCGTCTCTCTGCGGCGTCTGCTTCCTTCCTCGTGGCCTTCTGCCTCCGCTCCTCGTCCTGCAGTCTATCCCTGTTCCGCCGCTCAGAGTCTTCTCTCAGAACCTCTCTCAACCTCTCTTCCACCCCCTTTAACGTGCCCTCCGCCATCCCCCCTCCCGACTGGCGAACCTGATCACTCACCCTTACGATACTCTCCTGCAAGTTGGAGAGTCTCGTGTCCACCTCCTCGCGAAACCTGGCCGCCGTTTCAGCTTGGCGCCGCCGTTCCTCGTTTCCATGGCGGACTTCTTCCAGGTTGGCCAGGGCGTCGCGACAGTAATGGACGGTCAGATCGGCCACGTCGCGACTGATGCTGCTGTTGCGGGCCGCCAAGTTGCAGAACGTCTGCGTCACCATTCGGGCTAAGAGCGTCAGACGACGCGTTACCTCTACCGGGCTTATGTCCCAGCTTTCGGCCTCGACGAACCTGTCACCTTGTTTGACCAGGACTGTACTCGTCCGATGCAGCATCCGCCGTATTGCCGTCTCTGCCTCGACCCACTCTACCTGCCAAAACACTTCTGCCACCCCGCCTTGGCCGAGATTCCTCTCCACTGCTCTCTGGTGAAGGGTGGGCCGCCTCTGCCTGTTGAGATCCACTGTATCCCTAGGCGCCCCATCGTCTGCCACCCTCCATGGCCCCTCTACCCCGGTTCCTGGTCCCCGCGTCGGACTTCCTCCCAAAAATATCAGGACTGCCGGATGTACCGTATCCTCCTCATTCTGCTCCTCTTCTGTTTCCAGCGCATCTCCCTCGTAGTGCCCCACTCCAGCCTCCGGGACGACACGAACCTCCTCCATAGTATTTTGACGCCCTGTCTCTGCCATGCTCTGCGTCTCTCGGTATGCGAATACCTGCGACGCTGCCTCCTCATTATGCTGCCCCTCTTCCTCTGCGATGATGTGCCCCTCAGCACCCGCCGTCTCCCGTCCCTCTGTCTGTACCATTTTATTCCCATCTGAACCGTCCTCTCCATCTGGCTTCCTACGTGCGTCTGCCTCAGCCTGCTTCTGCTCCTCGGCCTCTGCCATCTTCTGCGCCTCACCCTCCGCCTTCTTCTGCACCTCTACAACAGCCTTCTTCCGCGCTTCTGCCCGAGCCAGTTGTAGTGCCTCTTCCGCAGCCTGTTTCTGCTCCTCTGCCTCCGCCTTCTGCCGCGCCGCTGCTTCTGCCTTATTCCGAGCCTCTCCTTCCTTATGTGCGTCTGCCTCCTCCATATGCAGCGCCGCTGCCTTATCCTTCTCCATCGCCGCTGCCTCTGATTCCTTCTGCGCCTCTGCCTCAACCATGTTCGGCGCCGCACCCTCCTCCTTCTGCAGCGCCGCTGCCTCTGATGCCTTCTGCGCCTCTGCCTCAACCATCTTCGGCGCCGCACCTTCCTCCTTCTGCAGCGCCGCTGCCTCTGATGCCTTCTGCGCCTCTGCCTCAACCATCTTCGGCGCCGCACCCTCCTCCTTCTGCAGCGCCGCTGCCTCTGATGCCTTCTGCGCCTCCGCCTCAACCATCTTTGGCGTCGCACCCTCCTCCTTCTGCTGCGCCGCTGCCTCTGATTCCTTCTGCGCCTCTGCCTCAACCATCCTGGGCGCCGCACCCTCATCCTTCTGCTGCGCTGCTGCCGCTGATTCCTTATGTGCGTCTGCCTCATCATTCTGCTGCGCCGCTGCCTCATCCTTCTGGCTCGCCATTGCCTCTGATTCCTTCAGCGCCACTGCCTCCACTACCATCAGCTTGACTGCCTCCGACGTCAGCTCTGCTGCTGCACCCGCTTCTTTATGCGCGACTGCCTCCGCACCCTTGACCGCCTCTGCACCCACCTTCTGCTGCGCCGCAGACTCTGCTTCCTTTGGCGCCCCGTCCTCTGCCGTAAGTGCCGCCTCTGCATCGACGAACCGATGGGCCGCATCCTCTGCATTCTGGTGCGCCTCTACCTCCACCATCTTATGAGCCTTAGCACCCGCGTTGCTCTCCTCCTTCTTTTTCGCCTCTCCCGAATTCTCTGGCACGTCGACGTCCCCTCTCCGGGCCTCTTCAGCCGCCTTCCGCTTTAGGCTGGGCAAGCGAACTTTCACGTATCCCCTATCCTCCTCGATATGCTGCCGCACATTGCTGGCGAGCTCCTCTCCTGTCTCTCCCACGTGTGCCCTTGCAGCGGCTCGTGCCCCACGCTCCCATGCTTCACGTATGTCTCCAGTTCCCGGGAAAGAGACGGTAGGATCGGTGTCGCCATCACTGCGCCGTTGCATCTCTTCAGCCCGTCTCCTCTTGGCTTCTGCTTCGCCCATCCGCTTTTCATCAGCCGCCTTCCTCCACTGCTCCTCTGCCTGTTCGACCTGACTTGGCAGCTGTGGATCTTCTACACCCTCCTCGCCTTCATCTGCTACACTTGCCAAGTCGGTCTCCGTCCGTGCTTCGCGTTCTCGCAGCCTCCTAACCCGATCAGCAAACCTGAGCTGCCTAACTCCAGACCTATCACGCTCGTCCGCAGTGGCTGACCTTGATGTCGGGCCACTCAGTAGTGCATCCCCCGGTGCAGGTCGGCGGGAATATGAAATAAACCCAACTCTTGGATTTGCGTCCCGGTTTGCGGCAGGTACGTCTATCTGTCCCTCTACCGCTTCAGATCTGTTCTGTGCGGGTGCGCTCTCTACCACTCGAGCACAGTGGGTCGTCATGACTGCATCCGGGGCGGGACGGAGCCAGACTCCTTGCAGGTCGAAGAAGGCCCTGCAGGTCGACTCCAGCATACTCCGAATTTCTTTCGCGCTGTTTTTCCCCTTCCCTAAGACCATCATCGGCTCTACAGACTGAATCGCCATGACATCCCCCCATTTGTCCAGCAACTTGCTGAACACATGGGTAACGTGCAGCCCGGAACCCACTTGCCTCTGTCCCTGAACCTTGTTGATCTGCAACATGTGCGTGAAAAGGTGGTTGTTAGACACTCCCGTAACTTTTTACAAGATTAATATCATACAACGCTTAAATCATAAAAATAGAGGCTCCTTCCTTACCCTACCTTCCTCCAAAATCAGATCATCTAGGCGAGCCCTCAAATCTTTCTGCATCGCTTCGGCGTGGCTGCCAGAGACCCTGCGACCTCGGCTGTATTCCACATCTAGTTGTCGGATAAGCCAGCTGCAGGGCAAGGGGGTCGCAAATAATCAATAACATGCGTCCATACAAACCCCACATCGATTAAGGAGTGATACTTACTCGAACACCTCCTTGGCATGCTCGCTGTGGCGATGGGTTGGGATTGCAGATTTAGGGTCGAAGTGTAGCACACGCGTACGGTACTCTCCGCGGGGATGTGCTAACAAATCTTGCGGGTTCATCAACACCATGAGACTGATCGCCGTCGAGTGAACAACAGGGACTCTGCGGTACATGGAAGTTTGGATTAGCAAGATAGCTGGTGTCATCGACAAACGTTGCGGATCCATGTCAGGAAACTCACTCTGATATCATGGGTATTAAAACCATCTGGTAGTCCAACAGCGACCGATGTTCGCTGCCACAACTGGGGACACGCGGGACGGCAGACCTCAAACGCCGATGCTCGGTAGGAGCCAGAATCTTTATGTCCCTGCGAACGCGAGGATCCCCAATCTTGTCCTTGGCAACCTCCGTGCATCCAAGCCGACATGTCGCAGAGGTAAGAAGATAGCAGGTGCCTGTCTAAAAAAACAAGGGTTCAACGTGACGATGAAGTCAGCGTGCGTTACAAACCGCGCTTGGATACATACACAAGGCCGAAAAGTAACAACGCCTCGTTCCACTCTTCCTGACGAGCGATTAACCTTTCATAAGACTCCCGCCCTAGTCGTACCGACAATCCGCAGCCGTCTGTGATTAGCTGGGACGACATCGCGTAAGTATGCCAGAAGATGGCAGGTAGCTAAACGGTTACTACCATACACTGTCCGCCTGCAGGATTAGAGGCCGACACTAGAATGAGAGGGAAGCTTGTGAGGCTAGTTGTGGAACCTCGACTCAGATTGGAATGGCGAGAATGACGTTGAGCTTTGGTGCACCCACCCTGATCCCAACTTCTGCTTCGCTGGTAGAATTAGTTGTGCTCTGTCCTCAAAGAAGGTGGGAAAGGCTTTGCTACAAACGCCAGGCATAGTAAGAATTTTCTGCCCCCTGGCTCAAAATATTAGGCTTCTCACCATTTCCCTTCGAACATCTGCGAACTACTCTTTGCATCCTTCTGCAATGATTTACCTATTTGTCGCCAGATTGTTCTCCTAAATGTTTTACTTCAGTTGCTGGTTGGTTGATTGCCAACCTTATATGCCATGTTAGCATATTGCATGTTCTGCGGTGCATTGCATGGTCTCAGCTTTGCCTCGACCTAGTACAAAATGGTGACGGGCAGCCCCTAAAAAAAAAGAATGGTGTCCTGTGACAGGTTAATGACAGGCTGCCACGTATAGCTATCCCATCCGCATGGTTCCCTCCGCAACCTGGAAATAGAGCTGTCTCTGCGACCTGTCACACGTGTCAGAAACCGAATGACACCCTATATCCGAGAGTACCGCTATAGGGGTACTCGTGTAGCACGTATAGTACTAGTTTTTGTAACCCATAAAACAAACACAAGCATGAACTTTGCATGATTAGCACACCCAATTCTATAACGGGTAATCCTATAAGTGTGAGATGAGTGCCCTATCATTAGCACCCGTATAACAGTGGCATTTGAATACAAAACAAATGTTGTACATTTCGCCAAAGTAATCTGCTCCCGCCTGCAGAGGAGAGAGTGAAAAACATACTACACGCCTACGAAATGAGGTGAATTTTAGGTGAGGGTCTGGAATATGTGTGGTGAGAGTCCCCTATAAAAATCAGCTCATTTGCTCAAGGAGAAGTGGGTCATTTCAAATGAAACCTGATTCCAGGCAATTCCGCACAGAATTCTGCAGACTGCTGCACAACAAGGCTTAAAAAACATATCAAACCTTGGGTAAATGAGATGAATTTCAGTTGGGGGTCTTGAATATGTGTTTTGAGAGTCCCCTTTAAAAATCAGCTCATTTGCTCAAGGAGAAGTGGGTGATTACAATTGAAACCTGATTCCAGGCAATTCTGCACAGAATTCTGGAGACTGCTTCACAACAAGGCTTTAAAAACCTATCAAACCTTGGGTAAATGAGGTGAATTTCAAGTGGGGATCTGGAATATGTGTGTTGAGAGTCTCCTATAAAAATCAGCTCATTTGCTCAAGGAGAAGTGGGTGATTTCAAATGAAACCTGATTCCAGGCAATTCTGCATAGAAATCTGCAGACTGCTGCACAACAAGGCTTACAACACATATCAAACCTTGGGAAAATGAGATGAATTTCATGTGGGGGTCTGGAGTATGTGTGGTGAGAGTCCCCTATAAAAATCAGCTCATTTGCTCAAGGAGAAGTGAGTGTTTTTAATTGAAACCTGATTCTAGGCAATTCTGCACAGAATTCTGCAGACTGCTGCACAACAAGGCTTGAAAAACATATTAAACCTTAGGAAAATGACGTGAATTTCAGGTGGGGGTCTGGAATATGTGTGGTGAGATTCCCCTATGAAAATCAGCTCATTTTCTCAAGGCGAAGTGGGTGATTACAATTGAAACCTGATTCCAGGCAATTCTGCACAGAATTTTGCAGACTGCTTCACAACAAGGCTTTAAAAACCTATCAAACCTTAGGTAAATGAGGTGAATTTCAAGTGGGGGTCTAAAATATGTGTGTTGAGAGTCCCCTATAAAAATCAGCTCATTTGCTCAAAGAGAAGTGGGTGATTTCAAATGAAACCGGATTCCAGGCAATTCTGCATAGAATTCTGCAGACTGCTGCACAACAAGGCTTAAAACACATACCAAACCTTGGGTAAATGAGATGAATTTCATGTGGAGGTCTGGAGTATGTGTGGTGAGAGTCCCCTATAAAAATTAGCTCATTTGCTCAAGGAGAAGTGGGTGATTTCAATTGAAACCTAAATCCAGGCATTTCTGTACAGATTTCTGCACCCGCCTACAGAATATAACATGAAAGGCATGGCAAACCTTGATGAAATGAAGTGAAAACTGGATAGGGATCAGGACTAGATGTTATGACAGTGCCCTATCAAAATGGGCTCATTTGCCCAAGGAGAAGTGGGTGATTTCACCAGACACATCACAGCAGGCAACTCAACACTAACTTCCTTGCAAGAAAAAGTCCACCAAATCAGTTTGCATATAGCTGAAAATGTTCAGGGGGGCTGGAACAGGTGTCATAACACTAACAATGCTAAAAAAAATGGTCACCGCATAACACATGTGTGTGATGCCCAGAGAATGACTTTACATGTGCTATGAGCAATCTTAGTTGACCCAAAAGTGACAAAATGGAACAAATTTGACAAAATAACAAACTCATGCCCTCTGGTAGAGGACATCAAGGAGATGCTGGAAATCCATGTTTGTGTGCAAATGACCAACAAATTATGGAGTTATGAGCCAAACCATATAGAATGTTGACTTAGCCATTTTGACATTCTGCTTGTCAGAATTACACCAAAGTGTCAACAACAAAGTTTATCTACAAATACTGTACAACAGTGGTTGCGACGTCGCTTTCGTGCGACCGTCGATAATCCAAACCGGTAGTGTAACCACTCTTGCGCCCATTTCGTTGCGCCATCAGGTGGTTTGGATTTTGTAAGATCCAACACCCTTTTGCGCCGAATCCGAGTCAAATCCGAGTAAAATCGTCTCGCCACGGGCAAAATGGAGTTTCGCCAAAAAAAATGAATCCCGGTCGAAGCAGAGGATCCGAGTGCTGCTTCCGCCTTTGGCCCGCCCTTCCCCCGTCAGGTGGTTTGGATTTCTAGGAACTTTAATGATGTGAACGCGTTTGTCTTTTTGCGAAAACCCCCTTTCTCGTCTATGACTCGCAAAACCGCGTGGGGCAGGTGCCAATTGTTGCGTCTGCCCAGCTCATAACGACATCGTTGACAACCAAAGCGCGTTGCACCTGTTGGAAAGGTTTCCAAGAATCAAGGCTCGTGCGAGTACTCATGAAACCATACGCAGTGTGACTAAAGAATATTAAACCGCTCTTAAAACCTTTTTGGGTGACAGCTGACTGCATCACATCCCCGCGGGTTGCACCTGTTGGAAAGGTTTCCACGAATCAAGACTTGTGCAATGACTACACACGTCAGTCAAAACATGTGAAACCATACCCAGTGTGATAACACCATAGCAGACCGCTCTGAAAACCGTTTTGGAGTGACAGCTAACGTTGCACCCTTCATCTCATGTCCGCGCGATTCACAGCGGCTAAACATATCCATCAGCGGTTGAATCGGGTCTTATGATACCCATCAGTCTCGCTCACCGAAGCGCTCTGCAGCCATGGAAGTTTCCGCCAGGACGGAACTCGGGTCTGTTTCTGCATCTTCTATGGTCCTATCCTATCCTCTCCTCTCGTCTGTCACCAGTCACGACTCAAAACGACTGAACATATCACAACCAAGCCATTCAAACACAGCATGTTCTTGGATTCAATCATTCCTGCCATCATTCCGCCCGTCATTCTGTCCAACATTCTTTCTGAATCCTCCGCTTCCCAAGAATGCCATTCTTCTGCTGGCTGAATTGTGTCGTCCGAAGAAATATAAGGGCGGGTCCGAAGTGACCCTCGACATCCGTCCGTCATCCATCCGTCATCCAACCATCGGGAAAAGAGCGGGTGTGGTTTCCAAGTTGGAAACCAGTCGTAAGCGATTGATTGTCGGCTGCAGGCGTTTTCCCCGATGAAGCGTGTGGTTTGCGTGTATAGTAGCTTGTTGCTCGCGAGAAGGTTTCGAGTGGTCGAGCAGCTGGCTGCCAAACCTGAAGATTTGGCTTGGATAATTTCGACGAACTGAACGCAGACAGCCGGCACATCGGCAGTGGGCGGAATTTTTTTCCGATTGGTTGTCGCGTCAGCAATATCGACACGATAAACACTGCTTCGGTTGTTGGAATCTGGATGTTGAACTAAGGTCGTTATTTTTTACACGTCTCGTTCAAAATTGATCTTCTAGCGAAAGTGATGCAAGTCAATTGAAACGATGACGCGGAAGTTAGCGTGTATTGATGTAGAGAGCTCTCCTCTACTTTGCAGGAACTGGGATCTGTACTAAACACTAGAGCACACTCTTGGCTTTCCAACGAGCCGTAGAACACGTGATTCGCCCAAGTATCGGCTCTAATACGGCTTTCAACGTGCTAGGTAGTGCTCTAATATTGAAGAATAGGATGTCTCTGGATTTTGTGTCGAGTTGAACTGTGTATAGAAAACTCTGATTTTCAGTATGAAACATGCATACAAAGCAACTAGTTTTATAGCATGCAATCAACATCGAACCGCGTTCGTAACATCGCATCGCTACACTTCGCGAATGTTCTCGTAACATTTCGAAGTGGTGAAATTCGACACTCGAATTTCACTCATCCGAATGTTCCTTCAAGTCTCGAACTTTCTGGTGCTGCCATGTGGCACCGAATTGGTTGAGTCTTCCGAAGTCAATCTTCAGCCCCACGCTAATCTGCAGCTCACTCGAAGGTGAGAACCAAAAGCAGCACCGTTCGGTGGTTGGGGGCAAAACCTAGCCCCACGCAACCTCCAACACTCCCCCTTGCACCCAAGCCACTAGGTGCTCAATCCAACACGCTCACAGCATGCACGGAATGAATCCTTAGGGAGTGGTTTAGTGAGGAAGTCCGCGGGTTGAGCTTTGGTGCTTATGTAAGTGAGTTTGACCTCACCCTTCTCAACCGCCTCATGAACGAAGTGATGCTTCACTTCGATATGCTTGGTTCGCCCATGAAGGACCGCGTTGTGAGAGAGGCTTATGGTGGCTTGGTTGTCACAAAAGAGAGGAGTTGGGTTCGTTTGAGGATGCCCAAGCTCCGCTAGAAGACGTCGTAGCCATATCGCCTCCATGGCACCTTGAGTGAGTGCCATATACTCCGCTTCCGTTGAGCTTAGAGCCACGGTTGGTTGCTTCTTGCTTTGCCAACTCACGGCCGCCCCAAACAAGGTGAAGACATACCCGGAGGTACTCTTGCGCGTGCTCGGATCTCCCGCGTAGTCTGAGTCGGCATAGCCCTTGAGTTCAATCGGGCCGGCTTCATACACGAGCCCCAAGTTAGGTGTGCCTTGGAGGTAGCGTAGAACGCGTCCTCCCGCGCGCACATGCTCGGTATGAGGGTTGCTCACGACTCGTCCAAGCACCCCGGCGGCGTATGCGAGGTCGGGACGAGTAGAAACGGTGGCATGCATGAGCGAGCCCACTAGCGAATGAAACCGCTTCCCTTCGGCTTCGTCGAGGGTGGATTCTTCCTCTCCCGTGAGGCAAGAAAATCCCGTAGCTAGTGGTGTTCCCACCGATTTGCTATCGCCCATGCCGAAGCTCTCCACTACCCCCTTCACATACTTCTCTTGGTGGAGGTGGATGGTCCCGTTGGCACGGTCACGGTCGACATGCATCCCAAGATAGTACGTGACCGGCCCCAAGTCCCTCATAGCAAACTCCGCCCCTAGTCGTTGCTTGACCTCCCGAATGAGGTCTTTGGAGTCGGAGAAGAGGAGTAAGTCATCGACGTAGAGTAAAAGCACCAATTGCCTCTCCCCCTCCTTCAACACGTACAAAGCGCTATCGCACTCGCTACGCGCGAAGCCGTGTTGAAGAAGAAAGTCGTCGATGCGCTTGTACCATCCGCGTGGACTTTGCTTCAAGCCGTAAAGGGTACGCTTGAGCTTCCACACCCTTCCGCTACCGTCATCGTACCCGGGGGGTTGCCGCATGTAGACTTCTTCCATAAGAAGCCCGTAGAGGAAGGCGGTGCAAACGTCCAATTGCTCCACCTCGAGGTTGAGGGATGCCGCTAACGCGAGCAACACCCGAAGAGTTGTAGCCTTAGCGACGGGAGCGAAAGTCTCGCTATAGTGCTCCCCCTCCCGTTGAGGGTATCCTTGAGCTACAAGCCTCGCCTTGTAGCGTTCGACACTCCCATCGGCTCCCAACTTCTTCTTAAGCACCCATTTGCACCCCACCAAGTAGGCACCCTTCGGCGGGTCGACGAGCTCGAACACATCGTTCTCCTTGATCGATGCTAGCTCCTTCTCCATCGCTTGCTTCCATAGAGGTGCATCCGGAGAAGCCAAAGCCTCCGCGTGGGTGCGAGGGTCATCTCCCATGGTTGCAAAGCAATATGCCGCACGCTCCTCATCCAACTCCCCAACGGCTACCGTAGCGTAGTCGGCTAACTTCGTGTTGGGGCGAGGTGTACGACGCCGACGGGTCAACGCCAATGGTAGGGAAGAAGGTGCGGAGGGAGTTGCCTCCTCGGTTGGTGGCACCTCCACGACATCGTCATCGCTCTCCTCGTTCTCTCCCCCTCCACTTTCGGCTTCATTGTCCACTTGTGATGGAACCTCCACCGCCTCATCCTCCTCTCGTGCGGGAAGGACGACGGTGAGTTGCGGCGTTGGTTGTTCCTTCATCGCGAACTTGTCTTCGTCGAAGACCACGTCTCGAGATGTGACGACGCGCCTTTCACCCAAGTCCCACACTCGCCACGCACGCTCGTTTGCCGCAATTCCCAAGTAGATTGCCGCACGAGCCTTCGGTTGCAACTTGTGATGAAGGGGATCCGGGACATGGTAGTAGCAAAGGCACCCAAAGGTGCGAAGGCGGGATAGGTTTGGCTTCGTTCCGGTCCATGCTTCAAACGGAGTCGTTACCGGGAGCACCCTCGTCGGCAAACGGTTGCGAATCCACGCCGCTAGCGAACTCGCCTCGCCCCACCACTCGCTCCCAAGCTTGGAGTGTTGAAGAAGAGAACGAGCGGCTTCCACCAAAGTGCGATTAAGCCACTCCGCCGCTCCATTTTGTTGGGGTGTGTAGGGTGTTGTGACTTCATGCTTGATGCCCTTGCTCTTCATCCATTTCGCAAGCTCGTTGTTCACGAATTCGCCACCACCATCGGTACGAATAACCTTGATCCGCTTCTTGCCGTCGTCGCAAACTTCGAGCGCCCACTCTTGAATCGTCTTGGCCGCATCTCCCTTAGCCTTCAAGAGTCGGGTCCAACACATCCGCGTCGCGTCGTCGAGCATCACCAAGAGGAACCGCGCTCCTCCCTTTGATGCATGTCGCATCGGTCCACACACGTCCATGTGAACAAGCGCAAGCGGGTCCTTAGCGAGGGGTGACGTTCGGCTACCGAATGGCTTGTGAGCCATTTTTTCCTTCTACACATGCCGCGCACACGCCCTTCTCGTCGTTGCCGGCGATCACGTTGACTCCCTTCGCAAGTCCTTTGTTGACCAACTCCTTGACCGACTCGTAGTTGGCGTGCGCAAGTCGATTATGCCACGCCTTGAGAGTCGCCTTGGAACCTTGCGCCACGTTGGATGAAGCCGCTCTCGGGTGCGTCTTGAGTTCGTAGAGTTCTCCGTTGAGAACGCCTTGTGCAAATTGCTTCCCCTTCCAAAAGAGGTTCATCGTCGCGCCATCGATGGTGAACTGCACATCTTTCTTCGCGAGTTGCGTGACGGAGAGTAGATTCACCTTCACCCCCGGGACGTGAAGCACGTTCGTGATGTCCACCGGTCCGCCATCGACGATGAGACGCGTACTCCCAACTCCGACCACGGGTAGCGACTTGTTGTTCCCGAAGACGACGCGCTTAACGTCTCGCGGTGCACCAACGTTGGTGAGGAACGATGCCGAGTGCGTCATGTGTTGCGTTGCGCCGGTGTCGAGGAACCACGCGTCGCTTGGTGTGTTGTTCCCGTCACCGGCCAATAACACGATCGACTCCCTTGTATCATCCGCCTCGCCGGATGCCGTGTGCGCGTTGCCCTCGTGGTTCCTCGCCTTCGATGGAGTCCAATCGCTCGGCCGCTTCCGACACTCTCGCCAAAAGTGTCCCGCTTTGCCGCAATAGTGGCACTTGCTCGCGCCATTCGATGTGTTTCCCTTGCCGCGATCGCTTCCACCGTACGACTTCTTCGTCGCACCCTTGCTCCACTTGGACTTTCCTCCGGAACTCCCTCCGGAGAACATGGCGGTCTCCACGCTCTCATTAGCGAATTGTCGGCGACGCGATTCTTCATGGAGAAGCCGACCGACCACCATTTCCTTTGTCCAAGTGTCTTGCACGCTATCGAGTGTAGTAATCACCGTCGACCACTCTTCCGGAAGGCCGCATAGCAATGTCAAAATCCAATCCTCCTCCGTGACCGTTCCACCGAGGTCCATGAATGTTTCCCCGAGTTCCTCCACACGAGTCGCAAACTCGTGCATCGATTCGCCCGCGCGCATCTTCACCGTGTAGAAAGCATTCCGGGCTAGGATCTTGCCGTGGAGAGTCTTGTTCACGTGGATGGTCTCGAGCCGCTTCCACGCTTCATGCGCTGACGCTTTGAGCTTGATGCACATGCGCACCGAGCTCACGAGATTGATGCCGATGCGCGAAATCAACGTAGCGAACGCCTTTTGGTCCTTCTTCTTCCATGCCGCGATGCCGCTCTCATCGTCCGGCTTCTTCTCCGTTCCATCGAAGAAACCCCAAAGTCCCCGCTCCATCATGAGCACTTCGAACTTAAACTTCCACGCGGAGTAGTTTTGTCCCGTGAAAATCGGTACCGCCGACGTGTCGAACATCGTCGCGGTTGCCCAGGGTTCGCCGGAATTTACAACGACACCATCCAAGGAAGTGCGGGAGGCCTCGCTTGAAGTCATCATGCGTGCTCCTTGTCGCGCGCGTAGACTCCTCCGACCAGCTCTGATACCACTGATGTAGAGAACTCTCCTCTACTTTGCAGGAACTGGGATCTGTACTAAACACTAGAGCACACTCTTGGCTTTCCAACGAGCCGTAGAACACGTGATTCGCCCAAGTATCGGCTCTAATACGGCTTTCAACGTGCTAGGTAGTGCTCTAATATTGAAGAATAGGATGTCTCTGGATTTTGTGTCGAGTTGAACTGTGTATAGAAAACTCTGATTTTCAGTATGAAACATGCATACAAAGCAACTAGTTTTATAGCATGCAATCAACATCGAACCGCGTTCGTAACATCGCATCGCTACACTTCGCGAATGTTCTCGTAACATTTCGAAGTGGTGAAATTCGACACTCGAATTTCACTCATCCGAATGTTCCTTCAAGTCTCGAACTTTCTGGTGCTGCCATGTGGCACCGAATTGGTTGAGTCTTCCGAAGTCAATCTTCAGCCCCACGCTAATCTGCAGCTCACTCGAAGGTGAGAACCAAAAGCAGCACCGTTCGGTGGTTGGGGGCAAAACCTAGCCCCACGCAACCTCCAACATGTATTGGTTTCTCTGATAAAATTCAATCGTTAGCTTTGAGGCGGCATTTGTGCATGTAACGGTGGCACTTGTGCATGTAACGGTAGGGCCTAATCAAATGGTAAATATAATAAATTTAATAACCTCCACTACACCGCACTAACAGTACTCGAAACATAACAAACGTTGCTCAACATTACATATTTACTAACTTGACACTGTATACACAAAATACATAGCCACATAGTAACTACACTTACAACTATACCTAACAACAGTAACTACAACTACACTACGTAAATATAAAACAGTTCTACCTGCACCTGGTTCGGATCATGACCCCTGCGATGAGCGCTGGTCGGGACAAGATCATCAGGGGACAGATCCCCAAGCTCATCCTTAGCGAGCTCCTCTTCAGAAATGTCGGTCCAACCGACGATGCATAGCTTCCCGATGCCAATGCACTCTCCCTCGCGCTTAACTTGGCTGGTGTTGATCCAACGCTGCACCACCCGTGCCTGCCTGGCGAGAGCTCCAGGATCCCCGGAACGCGTGAACTGGGCCTTGTTGCAGCAGGGATTGCGCAATTTGGAACGCACCTGAGACAGTTACCACAAAAATTGTAAGCATTACATTAGGATAAAATACCATCCGTAAAACTAGAGAACTCACCACTGCAAGCAACACAAGAAGCTGCTCACGAAACAAGGCAATCGGGAGGGACCCGTCCCACTCAGAGTCCCACAGAGCAGCACATTGAATAAAACCGTCAGTGGAAAACGGGACTCCGTTAAGGACATGCCAGGGTAATCCGAAAAACTCTGCAGTGTGACAATGAGAAGGTCAGATACAGGTTTACGGATGGTATAGAAAACGGTGAAGAAGCCTACTTACTGGAATCGTTCCTGGTGACATAGACTTCGCACTTGCTAGGGAAACCCTTGGGCTCGTAGTAAATAGTCAGGCCCTTCAGGCTACGCTTCTCACCCATGAAGACACAGGGCTCGTTAGTCAACGCGAGGATGCGGGTAAGTCGGTAGATCTTACCGATGCGATCATTGAAACGCACACAGGCATGCCTCAGCTTGCCTTGCAACGTCGCAATCGCAGCCACTTTCAAGCCTTCAGGTGAGTCTGGCGTGTGGCCCGAATGCCCTGCATACAAAAAAAATGTTATCAGCTTCCATAGACTGACAGCAACAACAGAGAAAACAGAGGGCAACCCTTACTTATGAGCGACTTCAGCATGTCATCAGAATCGGGAGAGAGATTGAGCATCTCTCGGTTGAACAGAAACTCATCGCAAGACTTCTTGGTGTACACCTGCGTGCAACACAAAAGAACTTAGTAATCCGACGTTTCTGGAGGAAATGAAATGCAACTATAATAATTCAACTTACCTCCCAGGTGAGAGCGCCGGCGTCAACTTCCGAGGCCTTCTTAGCAAGGTGTGTGATAAGCACGAGGCAGTCCTTCAATTCCCCCGCCCTACGCGCGTTCTCCTTGCAATATGCATCCGTGATCGCCTTTTGAGCACCCGCCTTGGCTACCAGCTCGTCGTTCACCAAGGGTTTGTCGCGCTCTTCCTCGTCATAAGCTGCGGCCTTAGTAGCGTACACCCGACCTTTAGCGCGTGACATTATCAACTCCATCGGGCTGGCATCAGCCTTTCCTGTTGGTGGACAAAAACAAATACGGAACAACAACATTAGTCATGGTTGCAGGCAACAGAATCCAAGGCATAGAAAAGTGAGTAGAAGTGTGAATCACCTTTTTCGGCGGCGGGTTCCTTGTCCGCTACGACAGCGACACAATTATCGATAGTTTCGATAAAAGCAGGGAGATGACCACCGTCACCGGAGCCTTCGGGACCACCGGCAGTGTCGGCAGAGACTGCAGGAGCCTTGTCAGGCTGGCCCGAAGCCTTGGCGGGCTGGCCTGGAGCCTTGGCGGGCTGGCCCGTAGCCTTGGCGGGCCGGGACGGAGCGTCACCAGTGGTCGGCGAAGGCTCGGACGTTCCAGCGCCGGCACTAGCGTTGACATCTTCGAGGCTCCGATGAAAAGTTTTTTGACGCTGGCCCGTAGGGTGACGACCAGCCGGTGGTTCCTCCGTCTCTTTATCAGTATTGGTTGTGAGAATAAGCGAACAGGAATGAATGAACTAGCAGTGAAATGAGTACAAGTAGGAAACCCTAGAATTGTGTACCCCCTATAGGCTAACCCACTGTAGCCTACACAAGCAGAACATATATAATGTTTGACACACCCCCATAGGCAAAGTGGGGGAGAACAAGGGGTCTTAAGACCAGTCAAGCAAAGCAAAGCAAGCTCAGGGTGGATCACAAAGTCACCACACAGTCCGAGCACAAGAGCAGGGCCAGAGGCCAGTTCACATGCAGGAGTATAGACATATATATAAAACTAGACAAGCAAGAGCAGGTATATATATATGTCACAGTACAAGTGAAGTCAAGAGGAGAGCAAGTGAGGCAAGACAGGCACAAGACCGAGCTGGGTGCAAAAGCGCTGATGGTCACAAGGCGCGAGTGCCTTGGTGAACACATCAGCAGTGTTGGCCTCAGAGGCCACGTACGCAAGTCGCAACTGACCACGCTGCTGCAGCTCACGAGCAAGGAAGTAGCCGAGAGCAATGTGCTTCGTTCTGTGCTCCAAGCGCTGCTCTCGACACAAGGCCAGCATGGCCTTGTTGTCTACGTACAGCACTGGAGGAGAACGAGGTGGCTCTCCAAGGTCAGTCAGCAGGTAGGTGAGCCAGCGAAGCTCCTGTGCAGCCATGGCCCCGGCGTAGATCTCAGCCTCACAACTGGAGCCGAGAACCGAAGACGAGCGAGTAGACCGCCACGAGACAGAGCCGGAACCAAGGCTGAAGGTGTAACCCTGTGACGACCGCTGCGTAGCCTGGTCGTCAGCCCAAGAAGCGTCCGCGTGGCCGGTAAGGACCACTGGACTCCGCCCTCCAAGCACTAGCCCCATGCCCGACGTACTGCACAGGTAGCGCAATACCCTCTTCGCTGCAGCCATGTGCTCTGGTCGGTGTCTCCCAGGAGCAACATAGCGTGCAAGAATGCTCAGAGGGTATGCAAGGTCAGGTCGTGTGCAGGTCATCATGTACATGAGGCAGCCAACAAGCTCTGCATACGGACCACTCGACTCTACGGACTCATCCGAAGGCAGAGCTGAGAGTGAGTGGCGAGTAGGCAGAGGAGTGGCCTGAGGCGAGGAGTACGTGAAGCCAAAGCGCTGAAGGACCTGCTGCACCATGTGTGACTGAGTCAAGGTAATGGTGCGGCGTGCTCTGTCCCGAGTGATCTGCAAGCCAAGGTAGCTGCGCAGTTGACCCAGGTCTGTGCACGTGTGTCTCTTCAGCAGCTCGGACTTCACGTAGGCGAGTCCAGCAGTGTCCGCTGTGGCAAAGACCAAGTCGTCGACGTACACGAGGATGTAGAACGGCGGCAGTGAAGTGTCGGTGCGCAGAAACAGCGACGGGTCAGCAGTAGAAGGAGCAAACCCAAGAGCCGCAAGCGTAGTCCTCAGTGTGTCGTGCCACTCACGCGGTGCCTGGCGGAGACCGTAGACTGGCCGTCGGAGGCTCCACTGGGTGCCAGGAGGGAAAGTCCCAGTGAAGCCAGGTGGACGGCGCAGCCAGATCTCCTCGTGCAGGCTACCCTGCAGGAACGCAGTGCTGAAGTCGAGAGAGTGAAGCTCGTAGTCGCGCTGAGCGGCTATGTGCAGCAGCACCCGAAGAGTGGTCATCTTCGGGGTGGGAGAGAAGGTCTGAAAGTAGTCAACTCCCTACCGCTGACTGAAGCCACGAGCAACGTACCGTGCCTTGAAGACAGGTGGAGAGCCCGGCGGCCGCTTCACCCTGAAGATCCACATGCCACTGACGATGTTCGCCCCAGGAGGGGGAACCGCGTCAACGTAGGTGCCTGTGGACTTCCAGGAAGCCATCTCTGCATCCATAGCTGCCTGCCACTGAGAGGAGTAGGGACCCTCTACGGCCTCCGCGTAAGAACGCGGAGTCGGGATGTCTAGTGCATCCGGGTCTCCCTCAGGGGCAAGCAGTACAGACGCGAGATGAGGTGAAGCAGCCGCTAGACACTGTAACTCCTCCTGCCTGTCCTCTAGGACGTCCGTGCCAAGAGCACACTCACCCCCGACGGACGGAGGACAGACAAACGCAGACTCAGCAACAAGACTAGCAGCGTAGTCGAGACGACAGCGAGCAGCAAAGTCAACGAGCTCAGCGACTAGAGCAGACGCAGCAGTGGACTCAAAAGAGGGGTCAGTGACGACAGTAGCAAGCAGACGCGTGACAGTAGGACTGGCAG